GGGGGGCGATTTCTCGCTTTCTATCTCTCTGTCTCTCTCTGTCTGTCTGGCGAGCGCACATGCCCTATAGCAAAAACCTCTTAAAAAATTAATAAATTGCTAATATAAAAATTTACATTGTATTTTAATTTTTTTCTAAAAAAAAAAGAACTGGAAAACTTCTAAAACTTAAATATCATTTTAGAGAAAGTACTAACAATTGTTTAAAAGTTAATCAATCTGGGACCAGCAGATGTTGTAATGGTTACATCACTGGACTCCCATGTAGTTGATGGTAGTTCAAGTCCCAGACCCAGTGGCTTAAAATTCATGCCAGGAGCTCATGCGTGCTTGCCTGCCCAAAATCCCAAGAAGAGAACAGAGAAAGGACTGCTGTGTGGCCCTCCCCCCAGGAGTGATTTCTCGCTTTCTGTCTCTCTGGCAAGTGCACAAGCCCTATAGCAAAAATCCCTCTTAAAAATAAAAAAAAGTTAATCCAAATCAGACTTTTTTTTTTTTGAAGAGGTTTTTGCCTTAGGGCACATGTACTCACCTGAGAAAGAGACACATAGTGAGAAAGTGAGAAATCCCCCCCGAGAGGCGTGGACATGCAATCCCTTCTCCTCCATTCTCCTTCCAGGATTTTGGGCATGCATGCACACATACTTGGTGTAATTTTTAAGTGACTAGGTCCGGGACTAGAACCACAGTCAGCTATGTGGGAGTCCAATGATGTAAATACTACACCATCTGCTGGTCCCCTAAATCAGGCTTTTAGTATAAGTAACTGTTATGTAAATATGTGACTGAATGCATGGTGTTATCTAAAACTGAATAATAAACCAAATTATACTATTAAATATGACTTTATTCAGTTAACTATATTTCTTTAACATTCAGAATTCAGATATTTTTTAGTTATATTCTGAATATAAATATTCTCTAAGTGGGCCAGCAAGTGGTGTGGTGGTTAAGGTAGGACTCGCACATGGCTGACACAGTTTGAGACCTGCATCTGGTGGCTTGTTTCTCACTTTCACTCTCTCTCTCTCTAGTGAAATTTAAAAAAATAATAATAACAACAATAACATAAAAAGGTAAACTGTTCTTATTTTTTAGAAGAATTTTAAAAACTTTATTACTATTTCTTTTAATTTCCTATAGGGCTCAGACGCTCACCAGCGAGAAAGAGAAAGAGGGAAAGTGAGAAAGCAAGCCACCAGGTTTGGGATTTGAACCACTGTCGGCCATGTGGGAGTCCAACACCTTAACCATCATGCCACCTGGCTAGCCCCAAACTTTATTATTATTTTCCAGTTTGATCAGAGACAGAGAGAGGGAAAGTGGGAAAGCAAGCCACCAGGTCCAGGACTTGAACCATGGTTGGCCAAGTGAGAATCCAGCGCCTTTAACCACCACACCACCTGCTGGCCCCAGTAATTCTTAAAAATAATACTCTCTAAGGATAAGGAATGGGCAGTTATTATTTCCACGATGTGAATTGTTAACTAGTGAGTAGGGGCCTCTGAATAGGATAAAAACTTTCTGACTGTGGGCTTAACTTTTTATAGTGTGTTGCCTTTTCATACCAGTTACTTTTTTTT